GAGTTCAAGACCAGCTTTGGCAAAACAGCAAGATCCTCTCAGTAATTTTTGTACACTTTCTCCTTTTGTAACTTTTAAATTTTCAGGATTGCAGATAAGAGGTTATGACTCTGTGAAATTCTACAGGATGACTCTGCACAGATTTTAGTTACAGGACTTGTGGGGAAGCAGCTGTGCAAAGGGAACCTGTTAGTGCTTCGTCATTTTGGGAGCACAGCCTAAGCTTTGTCTGAGTCCTGCGACTTAAGTACAAGCATGTGAACAGGGTAGATGGTTCAAAATTCTAAATGTGTAATTCTAACAAGACCAGAAAAAGACCCAGCACAGTGGGTATATGGAAGAGTTGTCATATTAGGGTAGTAGTTGGCAGAATTAAATAAATCATGTGAATGGGCAGGAAGATCATTTAATTTCAAGTGTTTTTACTAATTTTTTTCTCATTAGTTTTATTCGTAGTTTGAAAAGAAAACTTCTCCCTGGTTTCCATGTGAGTTTGATTGGACACATGTTCCCAGGAAGCAGACTGCATAGCAGCAGGAGTGTGTTCACTATCAGACATGAAATTAGACAAGGGGGTCAAAATGAGCTAGAGAATTGATAATATCACACACCACTGTCTTTTCTTTCAGAACATGTGGATATATTTAAAGGTTGCCTTTATGTTGGATAAAATCAAAGACAGATCTAATTGATTTTACATAATAGGCTATTTCAAAGTAATGAATTAGCTGAACTAATGCTTTCTTGAAAAATAAATAATTCTGAAAGAAAATAGATGTTTATTCCTAAATCCTCCTCCTCCCTTCTCAATTAATTAGACCTTGTTGGTAAAAGGAAGTTAAGAAATTCAGCATAAGCCTGATTATATCATGAATGTAAAATGAGGAGGGCAAATAATGGGTTCTATACTCTTTCAAACAAGTCAAATAAGTCCATAATAGCCCACCAGTTGTGTAAACACGATTTCACTATACTTGTAAAAGAAATATTGACTTACCTGTTAACTAAAATTATCCTGGCATGCTTCGACTAAGCTTGTTAGTAATTCTTGTAATGCATGTGAATGTTTTCCGTTGTGGACTTCTATCAAAGATTAAAGAATTGGGAAAACATCCATCTAGCAAACCCAGAAAGTAGACATGTACCAGACTACACTTCAACAGAATCCAATTTTAGGAACCTGAAATCTAAGGGCCTAAAAAAGTAAAGAATGATCACATCCTAGCATGAGCTATTTCATTCATCAGTAGCTTATTAACATTGGCATACTTTTCAAAATCATAAAGTAAAACATCAAACACAGAATACTAAGTGAATATAACTTCAGCCTGTCAGCCTAATTATCACATGAAAGGGGGGTGGTGTTTCTGTATGACATCTCTTCAGTATGTTTTCCAGTGGTAGATAGTTGTTAAAATCAGAGATAGATAATAGATAGTTGATAGATGATCAATATCACAATAGATAGAAGAGATGATTGATTGAATGAATGATTGATAGATGATAGATAATTGAGATAGATGATTGATAGATAGATGATAGATAGATGATAGATAGATAGATAGATAGATAGATAGATGATAGATAGATAGATAGATAGATAGATAGATAGATAGATAGATAGATAACAATAAAATCATATAAACCCAAGGCTTCCAAAGTTATGACAAGGGTACCATACTTAAAGTCAAAAGACTTTAGAATTTTGCCTTCCTACCCCCACAACTTCCTGGCCACCACTGGTTAAAACTATTCAAATATCCCAACCTTAAGTATGGGATGAGAATCACACCCATCTCTTCTAGAAGCCCAGTAAGAACCTATGACTATATAAAACTGAGTCAATATTGCTTGCCATACCAGGCGATTTGAAAACCTTATCTTATAAATTAGTTGGTATTTTCTACAAAGCAGAGATCACTGTTCACAAGTTTTATTGAAACTTTCCTTTTGTATGCAACATATTTGGTTTGTTGTTATTTTCATCTTTATGGGCTAAGTTTAAGTTATTAACATACATCCTTTCAGGAAACAAAATCACCATTAGCTGTAGTATTCTTATTTTCAAGTCACATGATTTTCTTTTACAAGGCCTTCAAGGCCTTGAAGAATCAATAGGCCATTCATGGTTCCTAAGCTTTCAAGATTTCGACTGAGTATGCTTGATCTAGAATTGATCATAGCTAAATTCTCACTCATGGGGTCAAACAAGTAAATAAAACAAAATTATGTTTTATTTATGGGAGGTTGGGAGGAGCTTTCGATCCAGTTGTCTAGAAGATGACCTTGGGATTTTGCTTCTCTCCTTGCTCATCCTAAGGTTCTTTTCACTCCCAAATACTGTTTTGTCCATAAGACAAAAACAGTATTTATGAATTCTAGGTTTTTGTCTTAGAGCTTATGAAGCTAAAATGAAGACCCTCTGAACCCAGGAACCATGACAGTCCTCCAAACGGACTCAAGTAATTCTGCTAGGGTCACATTCCCACCCAGGACAGGAAGGTGGGGCCACATGGCTGACAGATGCAAGGTTTCAGGAGGGCGGCTCCCAAAGGAAAATAATGAACTAGTCTTATTTTGGTAAGGAGATAAATGTTGGACATGCAATAAACAGGAAGGAAGGAGGAAAGAAAGGGGGGAAGAAAAGGAGGAAGGGAGGGACAGACGAACAATGGACAAATAAGAAGTAGAAGATAAAGGGTAGGGCTGAAGAGATGGCTCAGTGGTTAAGAGCACTTGTTGCTCTTGCAAGAGGACCTGGGTTCAGCTCCCAGCACCGGCAACTCGAGTTCCAGGGATTCTGACGTCTTTCTCTGGCGTCTGCAGGCACGTGGATGGTGCACATATAGACAAACAGGCAAACACATATACACATAAATTTTTTAATTAATTAAAAAAATAAGAGGAAAAAGTAATAGATGTTCATTTACTCCTGGCCTCACTCAACATATCATCCTCCCCATTTCACTGAATCACAAATCTTTCTGCTCCACCTGCATTTGTTATCAAGCTTCAAATCCCCCCAAAAGAAGACAAACACTGACAGATGGAAAATCTGGGCTAAGGTTCAGATACTGTAACATTTAGAACAATTAAAGACTGCCCTCACTCCCTACCAGGACAGTGCCTGAAACCTAGACCGGTTTGGATCTGTGATCAAGCAGAAGAATCTAAATTCAAATACGTTTCTGCCCAGTTCATCCCACAATGACAGTTCAATGCTCCTATGAGCCACCTTGACATCAAAAGAAGTTGTTCAGTGTTCTTAAATAGATAGTGGGCACAACCACATCTACCTATGTTGATGAATCAGTCATTCAACAAATATTTTTAAGTATTCCCTGTCTCTAACCATAGTCTAAATCCTACAGGTAAAACACAAGTGGCCTGGTCCTATCTTCCAAAAGCAAATCACAATGAAGTTGGTAAAGCAAAACATTTATGGATTCAGCACAGATCTAAGGTAAAGCATGAGGTCATAGCACTGTTGGGCTTCCTGTGCAGAATCTGTCACACTTTAGATGCATGCTCCATGAGGAAAGATACCTTAACTCTAGGATACTTTGTTTTATTTGTAGGAGTAGTTGTTTTACAACTATCTCTAGAAGGTTCACAGAATAAGTCTTGAGTGCCATTTATGAAATAATCAGGGGATAGATTTTTTAATGGAAGGAAGATAGGCTGTGAGCAGGCATTCTTTAATTGTCAAAGGCATGGCTGAGAGAGAACAAAAATGTTAGAAAAGACAAAGGGCAGGGGTGGTGGATGCATTGTGCATACGGGTCAAGTGAGAGGACAAAACAAAACTGTTATTCAGAAACCCAGGTTAACTCAAACGTTTAACTTTTTCCAAATAATGAGCCACAATTCTTTTATTCAAAAAAATGAGAAATATGAATCTAATTTATATCTCCCTGTGTCTGTCTGTCCTAACCCCCGCCCCCGTCAAAGAGAAACACAAACTTATTTGCCAGTTGTAAAGTCTTGCCAGTTGTAAAATTCTGCAGTTTGTAAGAGAAATCTCAGTGGACAGGCTCAGAAGCAGATTTAGAAGGACTGAAAATTCCAAAAGGTTCCCTGCCTTCCTGAAGCCAGGGGACACTGTGGTCCCGAGTGAAAACTCCAGGTTAATGAGAGTTGGAGTGGTAGGCTTTTGCTGAAAGCTTCAGCTGCTCACTCGGATGTGGAGACGCCAGCCTTTACCTCAGTCGGTTCTAGTCGAGAAAAGCCCTGAAATCGTTTGTCCTTTCTCCTTCAGATCCATGTTGGACAGTTTCTGTAGTGTGTGAGAACTTACGTCTTTCAGTGGTGTTTCTCAGAAGTGCTGGATGGAGGCCAGTACCGCTCACCTGGGTGGGGCTGCTTTTGGGTTAGAGACCCCTGTGATGCTTTAAGAATGCAAAGCTCCGTTAACAAAATAAACTGCTGTTGGTCTGTCCAGCATCCCTTCATCCCTTCGCTAAAGGCGATTGCCATGGAAATCAAACCTTAAAAAAATAAACAAAATAAAAAAAAATTTTTAAAAAGGCTCCAACGCCAGACTGCGCACTGACGGAAGGATCAAAAAGGCCACCCACGGTTCCCCCAAGGACTCCAGCTCTCGTTCCTTGATAACTATCTTTCTGATTAGATTTAGTCTCTTATTTCAGTCTTTTTCTTTCTCTTTGCATGCATCCGTTCGGTTATCGGGAAGGGGCTTGGAGTCAGAGAGCGTTATCTATCCGGTCCCCAGGAGTCTGCTTCTGCAGTTCTACCGCAGGTCCCTCTCAGCTCTCGCATCTCGGTCGTGAGTACGCAGGAAGGGGTGAAGGTGGAAGCAGGTGGGGGTTCCCTGCCCGATGGGTGACTTTGAGCTCTGGAATCCGCCCCGTGGAGGTGCAGTGGGAGCCTGGAGCACTCCCGTGGACCTCTTGCTGCCTGCTGCCTCGCAGCCGGGTCTAGGGGAAGGAGGGAGGAGGTGGGAGGAGGGAAAGCGGGGCCCGGCCGGGGGGTGCCTGGAAAGCAGGGCTGCGCTGACGTCACTGGGCGCGCAATTTCGGCTGGAGCGCTTTAAAAAAGGATCGTGCGAGCGGAGATGCTGCTGCACACAGCTCAGACCGCCTGCAGCAGCACCGCTCTCCACCACTGCGGCGGCTGCAGCGAATCCCTCCCGAGGCCGGCGTGTTCCGCTCGGGACCTTCGCCTCTGCAGACGCCAGCGGGCTTGCAGACGCCTGCGAGACGCCGGGTGAGTTGCAGACGCCCGGTGAGCTGCAGAAGCCGGTGGCTCGTGGAAGCCGGTGGAGCGCCCAGCGCGCCACACTGCACCAACCCCGACGCAGCGCCCCGCTGGCGCCTGGCTCTAGTCTCCCAGCCTCGGGCACCATGGACACCTCCCGCGTCCGCGTGCTCCTGTCCTTGCCGGTCCTGCTGCAGCTGGCTGCCGCCGGCGACCCGCAGAGGCCCGGCGCGCTGCCTCGGGGCTGCCCCGCACACTGTCAGTGCGAGCCCGACGGCAGGATGCTGCTCAAGGTGGACTGCTCCGACCTGGGGCTCTCGGAGATTCCCTCCAACCTCAGCGTCTTCACCTCCTACCTGTAAGTGCACCCCGCCTCGCTCCGGGTAGGGGACCTGGGGGCAAAGAGAGCTGGTGCCTGTCAAGGCTGGCGCGCGCCTGCTCTGGGAAGGGCGGCCCAGTTTGCCAAGGGCATCCTGGCTGGACCTGTTTCGGCTTCCAGAGAAGCGCACGTGTCCGCGATCCAGACGCGCCTGGCTTTCTGAGCCGGCAGAGAAACCGCTTCAATGTGGCACGTAGCGGGACTAATGCCTCCTAGCGTGGGCATTTGTGTGCAGAGTAGGGGTTTGTGCTCCGGAACCCAAGGGCAGGCTGCCCGACTTCTCCCTGCCCGACCTCTCAGCGTCTGGTCGCGCCCCCCCTCCCCGGCCCCCCCTCCCGAGACCGGCGGTGAAAACTTTCCCCGCAGGAGAAACCCAACTTCGGTTCCCAAGGATTCTGCTCTGCATAGCTAATACTGTAACATGATGTAACTTTTTCTTTTTTTCTTTTCCTTTTTTCTTTTCTTTTCTTCTTTTTAAACAAAGTGATTAAAATGTGGCAACCGCAAACCCCATTAGAGCTGCCAGAACGTTATCTTTACCTTTGGCTGGCCGAGCCGCCCTTTGAAGTGCCGGCGGCCACATTGTAATCTTTAACCATCTCCTCCCCCGCGGGAGGAGAGGGAAGTGGGCTGAAGGCAGCCGGCGGGTAAACAGCGGCGCCGCAGACATCCAGGGGGAACCTGGCGCTTTCTACCATCCTTTGGGGATCCTCCAGACTTTCTGTCCCTACTACAACCTCCAAAGCCCAGACCATGAAAATAAGGCTGTGGCTCGTTCTTGTTTCTGTCTCTGGGAAGTCCATGGGTAACAGGTGGTGAGTTAGATGAGGTGACTCAGGAGCAGCCCAGCTCTGTGGGACCAAGATAACTACTCCTCCCAAATTTCTGTCCTAATCTGAGGCTCTGAGGCTTGGTTCCTTGGGGCCCAGAGACCAGGGTCGAAGCCATTTTGGGGGGATCCTGGTGGCGCTCCTAACAACCAGGTAAAACATGGAGACTTTCAAATTTTAAATCAAGTCATTCCTCTGAGCCCATTCCAAACCCTTTTATTTCACTTTCGGCTTCTCTGATGTACCTTGGTAGAATCTAATTGGAATGTTTGTGAGTTCGTTTTTTCCTGTTTAGTTGTTTTCTGGAGGAAAGAAGCATGAAGCTTGCACAACGTACCCTCCCCCCGCCCCCCCCACACTAGGTAGTGAAAACTTCTGGAGACAGTGAGCAAGAGGAAAAATAATTATTTTAATTTTGCATTTCAAGAAAGACCAGCCTGTTAGATTTTAGTGTTGGTAGATGGCAGACACCTCCTTGTGCTCCATAGAACTGTTTAGTTCACTTTTCTTTACCTGAATAGAATAGAAAAAGTTTTCCCTACCAGGTTTTCCTTCAGTTGAACTCATTACATATGGTGATATTTTTCTGGGGATGGAAATCTGCTCTCTGAAACTCACTCAGAATTCTTGACTCCTTCTAACAGCTGTCTTACCACAAAGCAGAGCACACCTCCCTCCCCAGCCTCTCTGGTTTCTCCACTAACCTCAGTGATTGGAGGATTATATGTTCTCCAGTATAGTTTCTGAGACCAGTTTGGAGATTCCTCTTAAGAGGCTAGACTCTTCTTTCCCACCACCCTGAAGAAATTTGACTAAATACAGGTGCAAGGGGAAAAGCCTCACACACTGCAAACATGAACCTATTGAAAAACATGTCTCTGCCATAAAATATATTTAAGAATATGGCAAACAAATTTATAAGGTACCAAGGTACTTTTTTTCTCCCACTCGAAAGAGTGAACATTTGTTAGGTTTCTGTTACTAAGAGCCTAAAATTCTTTTTTACACTGTTTCCCACATACTTCAAATGCATTTAACTGCATCTGCCTTGTCTCAGGAGAACTTACCGCCACCTACTGCCACTGCTGTCTGTCACTGCAGACAGGCCTGGGGAAGCTAAGATGCCTTTAGGAAGGGAACTGTCATATTATTCTTATGGTATTTGATGACAGCCTGTACCCTAGTCTAAGTAAAAAGACTCCTAGTGCCTTCACAAATATTAAACTCAGTGTCTATGAAAAGTGATATAGTGACTGTTAGACACTAGTCTTGTGGCTCACATTTCTGGAGACATGAGTTCTGAATGTAGAAAACAGTCCCAACTGTGAGGAAGCTGCCTGGGTTCATAATGTGTGGTTACATGCTTTGGTCTCCTTCCAGAGTACAAAATACCAGGAGCCATGGGATGCCCTTTTGTCCCGGGTTAAGGATTTGGGTTTTCTGTTTAACAACTCTGGGGGCTCCTATACAGACATTGGGAGCAGATGATGCCCTCTTTTGGTCCCTCCTAGTATTACGTGGACATTTCTGCCCTCCCTCTGCAATTTTAACCTAAAAGAATTTTGATTTACTTATATTCAAGTAAATAAGCAGGTAATTCATTGATTTTCTTATTTTAAGAAATAACACCTTTGAAACATTTGGAAAAGGAGCACTTAATTACGACTTCACTTCACTGGTGCAACGTAGTAATTAAGTGAGCTAGGATATATGGGTGAGGGACCAGGGCTACTGTCTTTTATTGTTCGTAGTAAGTTATTATAATTTATGTAGTCAAAGTGTTATCTTCTTCTACCCTCTCAAGCAAAAGAACGAGCATTTCCTTCAAACAGATTGATGGCAATTTCCAGCTACACATACTTGCCAAACAGAGTTTCCACAATCTGACAGCTGGCTAGTCAGACTGGAAGGTAAAGAAGGTTTCCTAAACCTCTTTATACAAGGCAAAAGCAATTTTTATGCACCATTTTATAATCCTTCTTCCCAGAAAAGATAACTCCTAAGGCAGCCTATGCATTCATATTAACTCTGCTTTCTTACTGCACTGCATTCCCCGGTAATTGTAACTGGATCACTGAACATCATGGAAAACTCTGAAAAATCTCCACCATCTCTTTTCTCTCTCTTTCTCCCCCTTCTTCCTCCACCTATTCACCCTTCATCCACCCCATTGGTTATGGGTTCTGGTTTTACTAACAGGGGCCAATAAAGTTCACTCAGCAGAAAATAAAGCACACACCAAGGTTGAAATATAGACAGTAATTGTGTACAATGTTTAATACAATGTGATCAGCCAGAGACAAAACAGGTCTGGCATATAACCTTATTACAGATGAGTTACTTTAGTGTGCCAAATGTAGGCACTTTCGCAAATAGTGTCTTAATAAACTTCCATGAGCTACTTTGATGTGTCCTTTACCTAGTTAGTGTGGCATCCAGGTAGAAAACTAAATCCCAATAAACAGTCTAGCACAGTAAATATGCTTTTCCTTACTAGTCTACGACAACAATTTTCTTTTAAGTGAAAACTGAGTTCTTCCCAGTTGGTAGATATATCATCCATCCACCGGCAGATTTATGTCATATGAACCAAAGGAATCAAGAGAACTTTTTTATTTTGTGTAATTTGGTTATTTTTCCACATGGTGTCTTTGAAACAAAATGTAATTCTATATATAAGTAATAAAACTGACGTTATAAAGAATTTTAAAATCTCAGGTAAATTGTGCATGGCTCCATAATTATGTATGTTTTAAGTCTTTACGATGTAGCTTCAAAATGCAGCTTCAACATTTTTAAAAAAAAGTCTTAGACTCTTCCTTGAAAATCATGTAATGTATTTCTGTTTCTCTTCAAAGGCAAGAATTTTAAGTAAAAAAAGGTTGATACTTTAGAAATGATTACAAAAGAATTGATATATATTTCCTACAATTTAGATCAATTACCAGTTTTATACTGTTTGCTTTGTCGCATGTGTTTAACTTTTGTTTAAAATAGAATACCAATAATTTTTCTGCATTTTAATGAAGTTCTTTCTTCTCCAGGATTGAAGGTTAGGGAAGTCCGTAGAGGTTTTTGTTATGGGAACAATTATTGACACTAATTGACTAAATTAGTCTGAATAATTTTTAAATGGTGAGTTATGATTCAAGCAATTTCGCAACATAGGTTTCAAACAAATTGTTACAGACCGTGTTCAATGTGCTTGTAACAGAGTGTGTGAAGCAGGGTTGGATCTGTCCATAGAGCAGCACCTTCCCTGGGTTCCTTCCTCCTGCTGCTGCATTTTCTTCAAAGTAAAGGAGTACTGAAGAGGTAACCAGAGGAGCAATCATAAACATTAGGAGGCTGGAATCAAGAAATGACCTCCGTAGCTAAATAAAATCATGACGGCCCACTCGCCCTTGAATGTGCCCAAAGAAGTTCGGAAACACAAAATTGGTCTACGACTTCTCGTAGCTAAGTTTTCATTTGAGCTATTTGCTTTTTAATTTCTAAAGCATAGGGCTGCCAGAGGCATAAAACATCTGAATAAAAGTTAAAAACATTACACAATATTTGCAGTCTTCTACCTGATACCTAATTTTTATTTACCTTAGCAACTTATTTCATATTCTGTCAATTTAAAGTACTTAGGGCTGGAGAGATGACTCAACAGATAATAGCACTGGCTGCTCCTTCGGAGAACCCAGGTTTGATTCCCAGCACCCTCATAGTAGCTAACAACCATCTACAACTCCAGTTCCAGGGGATCCAGCATCCTTTGCTGGTCTCCGAAGGCACTGTACACGTGGGTACAC